TACATATAATAAATAAATAAAAAAAAAAATTAAAAAAAAAACTATAAATGTGACACACATTTTAAAATTATTTTATGTGTTTGCCTGTATGTATGTGCAACACATACATGCCTGGTACTCTCAGTGGTCAGAAGAGGGCGTTGGATCCCCTGGAATTGGAGTTACAGACTGTTGTGAGCCATCTTATGGCTGCTGAAACCCAAACCTGGGTCCACTGCAAGAGCAACATGTGCTCTTAACTGCTGAGCCAACTATCCAGCCCCAAGAGGGACACATTTCGTGTCCTAATACACGGCATCTTCTTGTGTCCCTTATATGTGAGCAGGTCCTCACATGTCTCATCCGTGAAGAAGGCAGATGTCTGAGTTTAAAGGGAGCAAAAAGCAGCTGAGACCAAGCATGGACCTTGACAGTGTTTTAAATCAGTTTTCCCTGAAACGTGTGCTCCTCTGCCCAGGCTAGAGCAGCCTCGGGCTGGAATTTGAGAACCAGGAAATGGCCTAGGGAGAATATTGGATCTCCACAGCTGTCTGTCAGATGTCCAAGTTTAATCTGCTTTCAAACAGTGTGAGGTGAAGCACAACCTAATCTGTGAGCACTTCCCAGTGACTCCATGAGCTCAGCTCAGTTTCCACACCAGCTCGAGGCAGAGGGCACTGCCAGCCAGGGCCTTCTTCAGAGAGCAGGTGATGTATGCACAGAGGACACGACCCCTCCAAGGTGTGGCTGAGAGAAAGTTTGTAAGCATGAGTGAGAGTACAGCCTGGGGCCCAGAGAGGAAGACAAAGGAGTTATCAAGGCAGAAATGACAGGCTTGTATGGGAAAGAGAAGCTGGCGGAAGACTAGCGCACGAGCTGGAGAAGCGTAGTGTATTTATAACAAGTGCTTATGATACTTACCCTGGAGGCCAGCATGCACTTTGGCATGCTAATAGGCCCCACAGCTAGCCTTTGGGTCTGATGGGTGAGACAAATGGGCAGGATGGATGGGCAGATGGATGTAGGGACTCAATTGAAAGTGCCAGCAGTTGAAGGAGATGTCAGCATACAGGGCTTGCTCCTCTGTGTGCTTGCACACCTTGTGTTCCTCTTGATAAGCGGAAATGAAAAGCTCATCCAGCCTGCCTTCAGTGACTCAGCGCCTGTGGCCACATCATCACCAGTCACCAAATGTCACATTTCCATTCCATCACATTGTATATTCTTCCTTGTGGGACCACAAAAGGCAGCCTGGTTCCTGGTTGAACTAAGGCTAGAAACTCCAAAGACCCTGAAGGGACAGTAGGCGCTTCACCTGACTCCCAGGCACCAGGCCCCTGTCACTAGCTGCAGGCCCCCATAGATTTGTGGCCATCAGTCACATAAGGACAACGCCTCAAGCCCTTCCACTTGTAGAAGACATGACCTGTGGTCACATAGGCTCAAGACAGATCTCCATTTTAACGAGGTACTTAAAGGCTTGGAGGACGTAGCCAATAAGCTTTCCCTCCCAGACACTCCTCCTTGCAAAAGGTATGTAACCTCAGGCCCACCCTGAAATGGGGTACAATTTTACTCATCCACTTTCTCCATGACAATAAATGCCTTAAAACCATGGACTGCCTCTTTCCATTGGGATCTGCAGTGGGGAGCCATGGAGAGGCCTTCACCCATAGAGCTGCTGTCTAATCTGTAGAAGGTTCTCTGTGCTCCCAGCCATGACCATCAAGCCCACTGCCACCACCAAGCCAAGAACTCTCCCCAAGGGACCAGCTGGAGATCCCCCCTCATCGCCCCCATCCAGCCTGCGGGGGCGCTCCACTGCTTTCTCACCTCTTCTGCAGCTCCCAGCGGTGCCTGGGTGCTTGAGAGCCTGAGGACCAGATGGCCTGGGCCTCGTTACAGGACCGGGGACCCACGAACCAGCTCCGGCTGTCCTGCGCCTCGGACTGTGCTTCCCGACCCCAGGAACGGTGTTCTGGTGCTGCCCTACGTTCCAACACCCGCCCCAGCGACCTCGACAGCACGGGGTAAGCTCGGTCAAACTTCTCGCGACAGCACCGCCCCTGCATCCACCTACATGGCGTATTCTAACACCTTGGCCTTTTGATCACCAAAAAAAACACTTACAGCTTCTGTGTGTGTGCATGCATTTTCGTGTGTGTGTGTGTGTGTGTAGCAAGTGTGAGCATATGCAGGTGGAGACTAAAGATAACTTTGGTTGTCATTCCCATGAGCCATCCCCTTTTGTTGAGACAGAAACTCCCACTGGCTGGGTACCCACTGTCAGACCTGAGAACTGTAAGGACCAAACCCACGATTGTTCAATTAAAGCAAGCTGTGTTTTGCAGTGCACCTGAGACTTGCCAGCCGGCTCTTTCACCCTAAGTTGGGATTTGTGAAAGCAGCACCTGCTGGCCTTTTGAAGTCCCTTTTCTAGGAGAGATAAGGTGTTCATAGGGGAGAGTTGGGTGTTATAGTTGTTAGCTCCAAGGAACAAGGATAACCGTATACACCATGTGGTCGCAAACAGTTTACATCAGATTTTTGTTTTTTTTGTTTTTGTTTTGTATTGTTTTTCAAGACAGGGTTTCTCTGTGTAGCCTTGGCTGTCCTGGAAGTCACTCTGTAGACCAGGCTGGCCTCGAACTCAGAAATCCGCCTGCCTCTGCCTCCCAAGTGCTAGGATTAAAGGCGTGCGCCACCACCGCCCAGCTAATGAGCAGGATCTTAATAAGAAATAGAATCCTTAACTTGCATGGGCTTAACATAGAACAAATGGGAACTTCTTTTGAACTGTCTTAACTGCAAACAGAACCCTTACCCTGAAAGGTGCACTCTCCTGTTTTGGTCTCCCACCACCAAGTAGCCCATGCTAGTCAGTGACCCCAGAGACCTGCCTGTCTCTGACTCCCCATTGCTAGAATTATAAGCATGTAGCACCGTTTGATGTGACTTTATTATTATTGGAGCTGAGGCACTCGTGTCAGAGGACAACCCTGGGGAGTTGGTTCTCTCCTTCCACCTGTGCATGAGTTCTGGGGATCACCAGGGTTGAATAGCAAGGACCTTAGCCTGCTGAGCCAGCATTCCTGCTCCTGGTGCTTCCCCCAACCCCTGGCCTCTGTTTTATTTCATGTGGCTTTTGAGGCTTGAACTAATTAGGTCTTCAGCCTTGCAAAACACTTTCCCAACTGAGCATCACCCCAAGAGTAATGAGTAGGCACGAGCCTATTCAGAAAGTGCTTCTAGAGTTGCACAGAGACAGAAGGCAGAGAGACAGTGAGACAGACACAGAACACACACACACACACACACACACACACACACACACACACACACACACCACCTTGAAAGGGATGGATTCCTTTGTTCTGGTGCCAGGAGCTGCAGTATACACTATGAGATTTAAACCTACCCTTGTCCTGCAAGCCAGGCTTCTTAGGTACCTGCTCATGTTCTCTCATCCCTAGGAGGGTGGTTGAGGCACACACTGGTACGTGCTGTGGACGAAGGCCAAGGGCTTTCAGGGCAGAAACAAAGGCAATGAGATATGAGCAATGAACCCAGGGCTTCACTGTCAGAACCCCACCTTCAAGTGACACCTTTGGTCTCTCGAGTACTCGTACCATACAGCGTCCCAGAAGCAAGATCCTTGAACCAACAATCCATAATACTTCTGTTTTTTGAAAATCTGATTTTATTGCTTTATGCCAATTTTTATTGCTTTATGCCATATTGTTTTACCCAAAAGTTATATTTGTGTTTGTGTGTGTGTGTGTGTGCACACATGCGTGTTTATGTGCATGTTTCCGTGTGTGTGTGTGTGTGTGTGTGTGTGTTTGCAGAATACCACCTCCAGTATTGGGTTACACCTCCCACCTTGTCTAAAGCAGGACCACTTCTGATGTATACCAGTCTAGCTGGCCTGTGAGGCTCTTGGAGTCTTCTGTCTCCACCTTCCATCCTGCTACAGAATCACTGGGTATGCTGTCATGTGCTACCATGCCTGGCTTGGCATGGGGGCTGGGACTCCTGAACTCAGGTCCTTGTGGCTGTGCAGGGAGCATTTCATCCACTGAGGTGTCACCCCAGCGAGTATCTCACACACTGAGGTGTCACTCCGGACCTCATGATTCTTTTCTCTCTTCTTTAAACTCAAATAGAATGAATGATTTCTTGGAGCATTCTGTGCAGAGGCTGAGAAGGCCATCTCTGGACCAATCTATCTGGACCCTCACCAGCAGTGTGCTCTGCAGTCTTGAGCCACCTGGTACACAGAGGCTGTTTTCTCCACTGTGACATGGGGGTGAGAATTGTTTATAGAACCTTTAGGGGCAGGTTCCATAAGCACCTTTAAATATGCATATATATGTATAATGTATACCCACACAATATATATATATATATAAAGAGATACATATATATATATATATATATGCACATAGTGTGTGTGTCTGTGTCTGTGCACAAATGTGCAGGAATGTACAGAGGTCAGAAGAGGGCAGCAGATCCCCTGGAGCTGGAGTTATACATGGTTGTGGGCTATCATGTGGGTGTTGGGAACTGAACCTGAATCCTCTGCAAAAGCAGCCTGAGTTCTCACACATGGAGTCTCCTCAGCCCTCTATAGGAAGCTTTGGTAAAGCCTTTAAAGGTCCCTGGATGAGACCAAGTGTCAGACATGCTGCTTCCTGGTGAGATTCCAGTCACAACCTCAGAGAGGCTAACATCCAAAATGACTGTGCGGGGTTTCTCCCATGAGCACACGAGTGTGCTGGATGCATCTGCTTCTCCCACTTATGGATGAGTCTGGGAGAGGAAAAGACTAGATAAAATTGAGGGTGTTTATGACAGATATATGGTCTCATATAGTTTCTGGAATTTGGCTTCAGAGACAAAAATCAAAACAAAACTTGTTTGAATAGGAGTTTCTCTTCCTTCCATCATGTCAGCTTAAAACACTACTCCACCCCTCATTTATGACCTGTCCTCTTCAGAGCAGCTCAGTGACATGCAGGAGGGCAGGGCTCCCTCACCCTCACCTGAATGAGGAAGTGATGTAACTGCTGCTTCAAGAGGCTCGCTCTCATCATACATGCTTTTAGGGACCAGCCATCCACCATGAAGAGCTACTGTGGAGGACTGTCCCAGAAGCAAGGTTTCCTGTTTTTGGCTGTGTTGACACTGATCTTTATTCTGCTCACCTTTGTTAAGGAGCCAAGCACAAAGGATTCCAGGTAAGAAGATGCCAATCCTGTGATTCCCAGAAAAAACACCTGAGGGGAGGCCTGGGGAACTCAGAACCACCTATGGGTTCCACGGGTGTTAAGGTCAGGAGTCTTATAAAGAATCTGAAAGGAGCTGGTGGTGTTGACCAAGGTGCCAGGGATAGCAGGAGGATTGTACAAAAAGGCAAGCCAGAGTTGGAGGGGTGGGATGGGAAGCAGGCAGGAGCTGGAGACTCATGGACTGAGTCTGCAGAGGGCAGGCAGACACAGCACAAGGGAAGTTACCCCCAGGGGCTGGTGAGTACTAGGGCAGCTGAAGTGCTGGCTCTTACAGTCGACACCATGAGAGTCAGAGCACATTCCTGGCTGGGGGCTTCCCATGTCTCAGAGACTTTGCACACTGAAAAGTGAGTCACAAAAGTCAAGGCTGCACACAGGTCGGGATAAGCCGAGCCTCTGAATCCGTGCCCACGTGAGATCTCCACAAGAACTTCTAGACCATTTCGCACATCTCCAGCAGTGACACCTTTTTCACAGACGCAGTGAAAAAGCTTCTTTTTGTTTTTTGTTTTATTGCTGTAGACATTTGGTAACAATACATTCATTCTCTAATAAGATAGGGAAAAAGTACAGAGAAGTTGGGTCTTAACCAAAGGCCAAGTAGGTAGAGCGCTTGCCCAGCATAAACAAAGTCTGATTCCTGATATCAAACTAGGATGATGGCACATCTCAGTACTTGGGAGCCAGAGGCAGGAGGATCAGAAGTTCAAGTTCTGTGCCTTTCTTTTATTGTCATTGCATTGTGACTTGGGAGAAAAGTTGGTTCAACACTCCCCCCAAATATGCAAAACTTCCTCTATGTCTGCTGCTAACGTCTCAGTCCTTTGGTTCACTAAGCTTCAAGAATTGATTTAGAAGGTATTTATTTTGGCTTGTGGTATTGTTAGAGCCTAATCATCTAAAGCAACCCAAGCATGCACACGAGTCCAGCAAAGTAAGACCTTTATGTGAATTAGGCAGCAAAACCTGACCAGTCAGGGAGAACAGCACAGACTCCAGAGCTGACTGCGTATTTGAAGGTTCGTTTAGTAAGTATGGAAGCAGAGGGCAAAACTGTATTGTGTTCAGACAACTACTGTGGTCAGGGATGCAGAACAGATGCAGGAGATGAGATGTGACCTCAGGCCAGAATGGTACAAAGGTTTTACGCTCCAAAACTACAATCATCTGTGCCACGTTTTCCCACCCATCAGGATTTAGGGATGGGGACTTCCTTTGGAACACGTCTTTGTGTTCCCATTATCGTGTTCCCATTGGTTGGGTTATTCAACTCTGACAGGACAACCTGCCAAGCATTTATGTCTCAACTTGCCAACCAGGATGTACATTACCCATTTATATGAGTCTCTCTGCAAACACTATATCAGTTACCCAGGGAGGTCTTCGGACTAAAACTTTATTTGAGCCCTACTCAAAATGGAGGTTTTCTTCTAAGCAGCTTCAGTTTGGTTACTTCTTACAGTAAAATGTGTTTGTGTCTGTTTAGACTCTGAGACAAAGTCTCTCTGTGTATTCCTGTCTGTCCTGGATTTGCTATGCAGACCAGGCTAGCCTCAGACTCACAAAGATCTGCTAGCCTCTGCTTCCCAAGTACCAGGATTCCAGGTCTATACACCTCTACCCAGCCATCTTGATCTTGACTGTCTATCTATCTATCTATCTATCTATCTATCTATCTATCTATCTATTATCTATCTATGTCATTTGAGAGATCAGTTTCAAATGTGCATTTCAGATAAGGATGGCTGTCATAGTGTCAAGGCATCCCTAGAACAACATGGGGATGTGGGAGGGGGTTGGAGGACTCCAGGGATGCTAGAAAGAAGCTTCTCTCTCTCTCTCTCTTTTTTTTTTTTTTTTTTTTTTTTTAGTTTTTTTCTGTGTAGCTCTGGCTGTCCTGGAACTAACTCAGTAAACCAGGCTGGCCTCGAACTCAGAAATCCGCCTGTCTCTGCCTCCTAAGTGCTGGGATTAAAGGTGTGCTCCACCACTGCCCCACAGAAAGAAGCTTCAAGTAGGAGTGGCTTCCAGCAGAATCACTCCAGGTCCCCACAACCAGTCAATGCCACATGCCCGTGAGTTAAGGGGTATGGTAAACAGCTAGGTGCCCATTGCTGTCTAGATACTTCTGAAGGCTGAATGTCAATGCAGCTGTCCATTGTGTAACACACAGGAAGAAAACAGAACTGTTTTCTGTTCTGTCCCGGGTCTCCATGGCCTAGGGAGCTGTGGGACAGGTGCTTCTCCTTCACCAGGAGTCAAGGAGTGGAACACACCCTCCCAGATATGTGTCTGTGGACAATGATGTTGTCAGAGCAGTGGGGGGCAGATCCTGAAAAGGAATCGGGTTCTGTAGAGTGGCAGGCTTTCCTCAGGAAGACCTCAGATTTTGACTGTTGAGGGCATGTCAGCAAGATCTGAGACATCCCACAAGGTAACTTCACCTCAGAGCAAGCAGATTGTGACGTATATAACCTGAAGAAAGGCTTGGAGAAGGAGAAAAGACTGGGAAGGAGGTGTGATTCAGTGGTAGAGAGTTTCTCCAGCATCTTTGAGGCCCAGGGTTTTATTCCAGCACTGGAGAGAGGAAGAAGAGGGTGGCTAGAAGGATGGATAGATAGATAGATAGATAGATAGATAGATAGATAGATAGATAGATAGATAGATAGATAGATACATAGATAGATAGATAGATGGATGGATGGATGGATGGATGGATGGATGGATAGTTAGATTTATAGTTAGGTTGATAAATACATAGGTATATTTATAGATATATAGGTTGATAGATTGATTTATAGATAGGTTGATAGATATATAGATAGATTTATAGATACATAGGTTGATAGATTTATAGATAGATTTGTAGATAGTTTTGTTTAAAGAAAAATAGATTTGTAGATAGATAGATAGATAGATAGATAGATAGATAGATAGATAGATACATTGATAGACAGGAAGACAGACAGACAGACAGACAGACAGAAAGGCAGGCAGATAGACAGACAGATTGACCATAGGCAGACACACAGTGTCTCACTTTATAACCCAGGATAGCTGCAGACCCATTGATCCTCCTGCCTTAGCCTCCTAAGTGCTGGGATTATAGGTATGCACTACCACTCAAAACTAGAACGAGTTTTAATCAGCTGAAATTCACTGATTCATGAAGCATGAATTCACTGTTACATGAAGCATGTTCAATACACTGCATATAATTAAGTTCCAAGTGATTGACAGAGGAAACAATTGCCATGGAGAGAGGTCTCTGGAAGAGAGAGAGTCTAGGAGGCTCTGTGGAAAGTTTCAAAGATGGTATGCAGTTGGTTGAGTGCCAGTAAATGGCCTTCAGAGAAGGAGGAGTCTATAGAAAAGGTGACATGAACGATCCGTCAGCCTTCCTCAATGGGGAAGTCTTATGTCACAATGGAGGGCTTCCCTGCTTGCCCAGGAGAAAGGTGGGTCCAGGGTATGGAGGCAAAGGACTCTTAGGGCAGAAAGGCAGCTTCAAGAAGGTGAGGGTGTGGACCATCCAGTGAGATAATCAAGGGCAAGGGGTGGAGAGATTGCCTAAGTAGTTACCTCTGGCAGAAAGTGCTGAAGGAGGAAGCTTCAGCCACTGAAGTCCAGGGAGGATCCAGGACAAGAAAGAAGTGAACTTCAAGAGATATTTTAGCAGGGCATTTGTGGCACATGCCTTTAATCCCAGCACTTGGGAGGCAGAGGCAGGCGGATTTCTGAGTTCGAGACTACCCTGGTCTACAGAGTGAGTTCCAGGACAGCCAGGGCTACACAGAGAAACCCTGTCTCGAAAAACCAAAAATAAAATAAAATAAAATAAAATAAAATAAAATAAAATAAAATCCTGAAAGGGAGCTGTGAAAGGTTTACCTTGCTTTGTGAGGCTCATTGTGAAGGTGGCGACCCCCTCTTTTCTGACACATCAATTCACAACTGGAGTCACTCTGTGTGTGACTTTGATCTTTACAACTGTGTAAGACGGATGCTTGCATAATTTTCAAGGGTGATGGGTATGAGATTCATAAAGGTCAATAATGGTCCTACCCAACCTGGCGCCAAAAACCTCAGGGACTGGGCCCTGGGGGCCATTTTACCCACTCTTTCTGACTAGCTCTCAAGAGGTACAAAGTTTAACAGAAGAGAGCAAGACATATAGCTGGAGTCTGAGGGACTTGTGTGTTTGTTAGTCTGCTGTTGTTATCAGTAATGAGGTTAAGCTGGTCAGTTGTTACAGAAGAAAGGAGGATAGTTTCAGCAAGTAAGGGGCATGCCAGAAGATCTTGGGGACAGGAGGATTTCTCCAGTGTCCAGAGGCCACTTCAGCAAGGAGGGATACTCCAGTCTAAGGAGACAACAAGCCAGAATCCACTCAGAAACATGAGACTCACGGGGGACTGAGCAGTCCTGAACCCAAGAACTACTGAACTTCTTAGATTTACTCTGTTTGTGTGTAAGACGTATGCAGACAGTAAAGGTATTGGAGCACAAACATGAGGACCTGAGTTCAAGTCTAAGCACCAACAGGCATTAGCCTGAAATCCCAATGTTCAAAGGCAGAGGATCTGTAGGGTTTGGTTGGCCAACCACACTACCCAAATCAGTGAGCATCAAGTTCAGTGAGAAACTCTGTCTCGTAAAATAATGTGAAGGATAAAACAGGAAAACATGTGGGCTTGCAGGCACCTGCATGCCTGTATTTGTGGTGTTTTGTTTTTTAATATAAAAGCTGAGGATTCAAACCCATGTGCTCATGCTTGCAGAGTAAGCGCTCTTACTCACTGAGCCATCTGCTCAGCCTGCTAATGATGTTTGTGGCGGGCTTATGTAACATCCAGCCTTTACCAAGTGTTCTCTGTCCAGGTACCATTTTATACAGAACAATGAATCAAGTCCACAAGAGATTCTACAAAAGGCCAAACCTAAAGGACCCATAATGACACTGCCACCCATAGTTCACAACAAGGAGACAACATCTGTCAGGACAAAGGAGGTGGACCTGAAGAAACAGAAGAGAAAGGCAGCTGGAGGAGAGGGGGAGGAGAAGAGGAAGCTGGATCCCATAAGGCCAGCACCAGAGAATCCTCAGAGCAAGGCAGAGCCTGCTGCAAAGACACCTGTTCCAAAACGTCTGGACAACCTATCGAGAGATACAGGAGCACTGTCAACAAGGAAGCAACCGATGGCCACAGGATCTGTCCCAGTCAAGAAGAAAGTGGTCCAGGCCACCTCATCCCCTGCCTCTTTTCCACACCCCACCACACAAAAAAGCCAAATGCTGAAGGCCTCTAACTTCAAGTCTGAGCCTCGGTGGGATTTTGAGAAGGACTATAGCATGGATGTGGGCAGCCTACAGACGGTGAGTCCGGAACTACACCATGATTCTGCACGCTACCACCAACCCAAGCAGCTCTTTCCTCCTGTGCTCAGCTTTCAGTCATAAGTTTGACCCTTCCTGTACTTGGCCTGATACTTGTTATTGACCCATCCTTCCTTCTTGTAACTGTCTTAGCTATGGAGGAGAAGGCAAGTCCAGAGTCAAGGTCTGGACAACTCAGAAAGGTGAGGCTGCAAGGGATTTGTCTGGGAGTCCTTGAAGAAAGCCCGGGGCAGGTTAACATTATGTGGGAAGGGAGTGTACTCAGTTTTGGGGTACAGTACATGATTTCTCATTCTATATTTGTGTCACTAGCAGACGAGAAGACACAGCCTAGTGCCCAGCTGCTTCCCTTCCAGTAACATTGCCATCCCTGGAAAGCCCACTCAGGAACCTTCACTATCCTCCAGGCTTGAGAAAACCTGCAAGCACTCAACCCCATGTCACCTCCCTAATCCTTCTGAGCCCTGCCTTGATGGAGATACTGAAAATCTATTTGTGTATACACACAGGACAGGGCCATATCCAAATAGAACAGAACATGCATATGTGGCTGACAGAATTGCCAAGTGTAGCTGCTTAGGAGCTTAGGGGACCTGTTTTCTAAGACAAGGTGGATCAGGACATGGAGAGATAGGTAGTCAGACCCTGGGGTCCAGAGTGAAAGAGAGCATAGGGGGCAGAACTTTTGAACTGTACCCCCCAGGCCCAGCCTGTGTGTAATGGAGCCCACCCAGGCCCTGGCTGATGGTTTCCCAGGCCATCCAATTACCTCACCTTTACTTGTCTTTCTGCACATAGACCTGCCCCGACTCTGTGAAGATCAAGGCCTCCAAGTCACCATGGCTACAGAATCTCTTTCTGCCCAACATCACTCTGTTCCTGGACTCTGGACACTTCACCCAGAGCGAGTGGAGCCGTCTAGAGCACTTTGCACCGCCCTTTGGCTTCATGGAGCTCAATCAGTCCCGTGAGTCCTTACTTCAGGGCAAAGAGTGGCTGGCTTCCTGTCTTGGGTTGGTCTCCTTTCCGGGCTCTGAATGGAGCCATGGTCTGTTCCAGTGGTACAGAAGGTGCTGACCCGCTTCCCTCCGGTACTCCAGCAGCAGCTCCTCCTGGCAAGCCTCCCCACTGGGTACCTCACATGTATCACCTGTGCTGTAGTGGGCAATGGGGGCATCCTGAATGATTCTCGTATGGGCCAAGAGATAGACAGCCATGACTATGTTTTCCGGTATGTTCTCCCTCCATTGCCTGTAGAGATGGGCTCTCCTGGGAGACCTGATAAGTGTCCTGTGGTGGTTTGAATAGGAATGGCCCTTACAGACTCACCTAGGTGAATGCTTGGCCCATGAGGAGTGGCCTGGTTAAGAGGCGTGGTCTTGTTGGAGGAAGTCTGTCACTGTGGGGATAGGTTTGGAGGTCTATGCTCAAGCTCTGTCCAGTGTGGCACAGAGTCCCCTTCTGCTGTCTGTGGATCAAGATGTAGCAGTCTCAGCTCCTCCAGCACCATGCCTGCCTGTGATCCACATATTCCTCTCCATGATGATGACGGACTAAACCTCTCAAACTGTAAACCAGCCCCAATTAAATGTTTTCCTTTATAAGGGTTGGCATAGCGGTCACAGTGTCTCTTAACAGCTATAAAACCCTACCTAAGACATGTCCCCTACCTTATCTAGGAAATGGAGTGTGTCTACAACTCCTGCCAGGCTGCTTCATGTTTCTCACCCCACCCCTAAATGTCTCTCCTCCATCATCGTTATCTGGTTTGATCTTTCTGTACAGACTGAGTGGAGCCGTTGTCAAAGGATATGAACAGGATGTGGGGACCCGCACGTCCTTCTATGGCTTCACTGCCTTCTCCCTGGTCCAGTCTATCCTCAATTTGGGTAGTCGAGGTTTCCAGCATGTGCCTCTGGGGAAGGTGAGAAGAGAGGAATGGGCGTGCCCACACAGCCCCTGGATATGAGAGACCAATGAGTGCATTTGGGCGTGGCTTCACAGTCCCTGGTCAGGGGAGAGATATGAGTGCCTTGTGTATGGATGGAACCTGGCTCCTCACAAGCTCTGTTCACATGAGGGCAAAAGCAGTGACAACAGCCACTCAGGCATTGGGAGAGCCAGGGGACAGTCATGAGTGAGAGGAGGGCCACCCTCATCCCAGGCTCCTCAAGGAAGTTCTCCTGGACTGCTTGCTTTCCTTGGTCTTCAGGACATCAGATATCTACACTTCCTGGAAGGCGCCCGGGACTATGAGTGGCTAGAAGCTATGTTTTTGAATCAGACCATGGCAAAAACCAAACTTTACTGGTTCAGGTACCCACTTCCCTCTTCCTGTCCCTGAAACTCTGGCCTGACTGAACAGTGAGTGACTGACTTCAAAAGGGTTAGTCAGGGGGACTGCCTCTGTGCCACCTGGAGATGGGGTAGCAGTCACAGTATGACCATGACTTGGCCTCCAGCACTCTAGGTAAGAGAGCAGGGCTTGAGTGATCCATCTCTGGCTACAGGCATAGACCTCAGGAAGCCTTCCGGGATGCTTTGGACATGGATCGATACTTGCTGCTGCACCCAGACTTTCTCCGTTACATGAAGAACAGGTAAGGTAGCAAGCCCACAGAGGGGCCATGGGCCTCTGCTCCTTGGGTGGCTCTGGACAGCTGGGAATCTGGGTATTTTGAACAGGTTTCTGAGGTCAAAGACCCTGGACTCTGTCCGCTGGAGAATATACCGCCCCACCACTGGGGCACTCCTGCTGCTTACAGCCCTTCATCTCTGTGACAAGGTGAGGCTGCCAACCTCTGACAGGAGTGGGAGTGACCATGTACTCCCAAGTGACCTGCATCCAGAGCCCTAGGGGCAGGACCAGGATAAAGGGACAGACTGCCCTAGAAGGCAGCCCTTCCTTTTCCAGCTCCTCCTCTATTTTTCGGCAGGTGAGCGCCTATGGATTCATCACCGAGGGCCATGAGCGTTTCTCTGACCACTACTATGACAGAACGTGGAAGCGGCTCATCTTTTACATAAACCATGACTTTACGTTAGAGAGAACAGTCTGGAAGCGTTTGCATGATGAAGGTATCATCTGGCTGTACCAGCGCCCACAAAGTGACAAAGCAAAGAACTGACCAGGGCCTAGAGTCAAGGGTTTCCCTCCATCACTATCAACACAGGATGTAAGGGTTCCTCACACACTCCTTCCTCCCTGTTTTCCCTGATTCAAATCTCCTCCACACCCTTCCAGAGAATAGATCTTCAGAGTAAATTCAAGGTCTCCCAGAGCTATACAGAGAAACCTTGTCTCTAAAGAAAACAAAGCAACAACTAAAAGAAAACACTAAAAAGAAAAGTAAAATTGAAAGCAATACTTTACTTGAAAATAAACATCAGTCAAGTTACTTCCCCAGGAATAGAGAGAGATTCCCAAAGGGCCAGCGTCACCAGCAAAAGCACTGACTTACTCACAATGTGCTCACCTGACATTTTTTTTTTTTAATTTGTTTTTTTGAGACAGGGTTTCTCTGTGTAGCCCTGGCTGTCCTGGAACTCACTCTGTAGACCAGGTTGGCCTCGAACTCAGAAATTCACCTGCCTCTGCCTCCCAAGTGCTGGGATTAAAGGCGTGCGCCACCACCATCCAGCTCCTCCCCTGACATTTTGAGTCAGATTGAACACATGCAAGGCACTGCAGAACTACAGTGAGCCCTCTGTGGCACTAAATGCATGTAATCATTTGTGTGTGTGTGTGTACATACCTGTGTACATGCACAGGATTACAGGTTTTCGGGAGTTCAAGGTCAGCCTGAGTTCAGGTCAGTTCAAGGTCAGACTCTGTCTCACAGCGAAGGACTTCCCATAGTGGAACTTTGTGTTATTTCAGAGAAGATGATGGGGCACCATGCACTGCCACTGAACAAAGGGACTTCCCTTTGACCTCTGCTTGCCTTGCCCCATGGATGGCAAGGGCACAGGAGACATCCACAGCACTTGATATGCTACTCTGTATGTTTTATCATCCTTAACATTTTTATTATTTATTATATATCTTGTGTATGACTCCTCCCCCCCACCCCCCATCTATTTGTATGTGTCTGGTCCATGCCTGCTGCCAGAGTTGAGAATGGAGCATCAGATCCCCTGGCAACAGAGTTGCAGATAACTACAGGCTTGGGGAATGGATCCCTGGTCTTGTCTTGTGGGGAATGATTAGCTCATGTGTGGGCACCGGCATGGGTTCTTGAATCTTTTTGGGCTGTAGGGATTCCTATGGCTCCAAAGAGACTGGAAGTCGGGTATATTGACTGAGTATACACTGTGTACAGGAGGGTGCTATGGGGCCCCGCCCAGTGTGGTGGAGATCTCAGTCTGATGTTCTGCAGGAGTGCAGAGCTCTTGGATTTTGGATCCCCGGGCCAGGTGGCTGCGGGGACCGACTGGTCTCAAGCCCTTGGGCTTTGAGGTGTCGCTGAGAGGCTGTGGAAAGACTGAGACTGGGGGCATGTGGGCGGGAGATCGCTGACCCACAGCCGAGAGAAACTAGGGGGGAAGAGAAGAAAGAGTCTCAACAGCACCCGTGGGAGAGACTCGGTTACTGTATTCGCTTAGCCGACTCAGCAGCCCTACTAGCTTGCTTGAAGATGTGGGTCTCCATGAGGCGTGGCGGCTTCAGCTTCAGTTGCTCATTACAGGCCTTTTCCATGTTTTGCCACAGTGGGCCCCAAAGACAGGAGAAAGTCCATGGTTCCAAAAGGTTTTTTTGCATGGAGGATGGTAGATGGATCTAGATGTACCTCACCCACACCCCAAACTCAGGGCAGACCTGAGTTAAATAAGGAGAGAGAAGCAGGAAGGGTCTGGAGAAGAATGCTTAATTGGCTCCGCCCACTGGCCTCAGGTAACTCATTAGTATGTAAATCTCTCTACAGGCTGAGGACTGTAGTTACACTCTCTTTAACCAAATGTGACTGTAAGGTGCTTTGTAGTGGAGATGTAGGCCACTACATGTGTTGTCAGGCTGGATTCTGGGAGCCTAGGGAAATGTATTCCTTCCCTTGCAGGGTCTCTGGCCATTTCCAAGCCAATGCTCTACCAAAACCCAAGACTCCTTCAAGGTCATACACTGTCTGAGAGCAGCAAGTGCTCTTAGTGGCTGAGCCATCTCTCCAGACCCCTGGTCTTCAACTTTTGACAATTGTCGTATTTTCTTGTCAATGCCACTCAACTGGTACAGACCATTGCTCAAATTCTTTGGTCAAATTAAGCAAGCTTTATTTTCTGTCAGACAGTGTATCTCCCTAAAGCAGGGTTTGAGAAGATGACATTGAACATAGGAAAAGCTGGGACTTATACAGGCCCAAATTTTGCAAAGCTAGGGGGTCTCCGAGGTTTTCTGGTTATGTAGGAACTTGGTAGATCATTTCAAAATTACTTGGCAGAACATATTATCAAGGTGGAGGTCGAGGTATAGGGTGTGGAACATAGCAAATTTCAGAAAATGGGTCAAGACCTGGTCAAATGCAAGTTTTACAGAAAACAGGAATGAAGTTATTTTGACCTTTCATCACTGACTCCATACTGCTAGGATTCTAGACACAAACCACCACACCACATCCTTCTAGAAGCCATCCTGGTCAGGAAAGGGCCTGGCCGCCCACTTCGAGATCTCTGCCTTCTCTAGAAGAGCAAGACTTCCCTCCATCTTTGTCCTCTCTCAGAGTACACATAGGAGTTCACTCAGCAAATTGGTGTTCTTTCTCTTCCTCCTCTGTGGAGAGGTTTTCTGGGTCCAGGAGGAGATTTTGGTGCTATATATACAAATGCTAAATTCTGAGCCCAAAGATCTGGTTGCCCCAAATGAGCAGATTCTCACATACACCAGTGTTTGCTGCATAAACCTTGTTCCCCAGTTTGAAGATAACTAAAAGTGGCTACAGCCAATTACTGGCTACAGCCATGCAGTTTGGCCGGGTTCCGTTACCAGGCTGGGGGTTACAGGCAGGGACCACGAGGAGAAAGAGGAGGAAGAAGAAGGAGAGAGGAGGGAGGAAAAGGGAGGTAGAGAGAACATGAGGACAGGGGTCTCTATTAGATGTGATTGACCAGGAGCATGAGGTCAATTGGAATGCCCCCTGAGGAGGGACTGACAGAGCAGAAATGACCCAAGTGAGACTCACACAGCGAGTGCTTGTTGCTTACGGGTGTCTGTAAAAGAGCAGTCGACTCGCACCTGGGAGTCTTAGCAAAAATACAGCTTTATGTTAAAAATCATGAACATGTTTTACACTCTCTAGAGAGCCAGCTATACAGATTGGATAGAGATGTTTCAGCCCATCGAGAAGCATCTTTAAGTCCATACTTAGAAGACAAGCGAAGGAAATTCAAAATCTTGAGTTTGTGACTAAACAGGAAGCTGTTGGTGCTCTCTCAGCATCAGAATTCCATTAATGAATGTTTAAACTCTGACCCTTTGAAATCTCAGGGTAACAATAGCATAGAAGAAAGAAATCTGAAACATTTTCTTAACCTTTATATACCTTAAGCCATTCTTTTGAGAGCCCCTAGTATTTATTTAACCATTTCTATTCTCAAACTTTTATATATTTTAGAACTTTTTTAATCCAACTCTTTACCAAAGATATGAGTAGTTATTACTGAGAGGTAATTGCAAAACTTATTTCGTTAGTGGAAAGTTATACCTGAAACCTGTTTCTCCTTTAAAATCAAGCCTATGAGCAAAGCAACTCTGTTTGCCTTCTGAAATAAGAGACCTAGTAGGTTTAACTAACTCATAAACTGACAAGAGAATTGGACCCTTGGTAGAAAAAGCTTCTTGCTTGTTGTTCCTTAGCTGATGAAGCTACAGTTAGCTTAGCCGTCAATATGATCAGAGACCTGAGAAGGATAAATTATAATCCAAATGTCCTATGAACCAATTAACATGCCAGAGACTAGTCCACAGTCCATCACCTAGACAGTCATCTCAGGCTCCTGTTGTCTCCATGACATTGAGGGCAGAGGTACCAGGACAACATCGGTGTTTGGTCAGGCCTAGAAGATGAGAGACATTTCTGTGGAGGAGAAACATGGGAAGGACATATTTTGCAGGCAAGACATTGGAGTAGTATTACCCAGTAGTTAGTGTTATTACAATCTAGGTGGGGTTTGTGGTTCTGTCTATTATCTTCCTGTAGGCACTGGGGGTCACTGCTAGGGTCTGAAGCCTGTCTGTCATGGTAATGCCATACTTAGCCGAGCTCTGACAGGCTTGAGGTAGGGCTAGTATCGATTAAGCAATCTGAGTTAAACAATCCTTCTCTGTTCTCAGTTACTTCTTTTAGGCTATACATGGAAAACACATAAAAAAGCTAAATAAAGCTCTTTTTAAAAATTACATTAGTACTTAGCATGATTATAAGCATAGTGATAGCCATCTCAAAGCTAAATCATCTTTAGCAGTTTATTATAAAAATAATAAATTTTGAAGTGAAGCTCTTTTAGTATCAAGATAAGACTTTTAAACCATAAACACAATTTATAAAGAGACTGGGAACTTTCCTGATCCTGACATGCTGTATCATTACAGAACACAAGACTCTCCTGTATGACTCAGTTTACCAAATTAGCTACAACTTAAAAATGCTAGCAAAAAGCAAGGAGGTTAGACAGATATCCAAATCAGACTTTGCTATCCAGAATACACTTTATGTAAGGAGAGACATTCTCTAGGTCAGTGGTTTTGAACTTTCTAATGCTTGATCCTCTAACACTGTTTTTCATGTCATGGTGACCTCCAATCATAAAATTGTTCTCACTGCTAGTTTACAACTGTGATTTTGCCACTGTTACAAATCACAATGTAAACATCTGACATCCTGGTGTCCCTAGGCTACCCCTGTGAAAGGATCTTTCAACTCCCCAAATATCTTGACCTATAGCTTGAAGAGCTGTTTCAAGTTCTTTGCCAGACTACTTAAGGTCATTATCTTCCTGTCACATAAGATAGGAATACTTCCGTCTCTGCTGTTTAGTTGTGGCCTTAATTTTTAGTCCTTTATGTATCTGTTTGTTAAGATCATATTAACAAAGACATTACAATAAAGTAGCCTAGGAACTGTAAAATAGCCTTATAAATTTAAATATGTTTGAAAAGCTGTTTCTTAAAAATATCTAATCATTTAATTTGAATTTTGTGTAAAACTCCAAAAACAATTTTAAAGAAGTTTAAAATGTCTCACCTGCATGTTTTT